TTTTTTGCTTGGCCCTATTTTGCATGCAGTTGTTTAAATAAAGTTATGCCTTGTTGTAATTAGCGATAATGTTAAGGGTAAAAATTTCATTTTTTTCTTCCACCTTAATCACTTTTCTTCTCTTTTGTGCCAGTGCTGCTCATTTTCCTTTGAGAATTATATAAACTAATTGTTTTGCATTCTTTCGCAGGTATTCATGAAGTAAGTGTCCAAGTTTGGAAGTAAAGCTGCTGGATTGTTCATTTTGTAACAATCATAGCGTTCGGATTATGATTCTTCTTTCTATTTCAAATGTTCCTTTGCATTAGCACATCTAATTCATGTGACATTTGTGGTGCAGGAAATGTTAAAAGATGTAGTCAGAACTAAGACATACCAAAATGTCATTTATAAGAACTCCTTTCTTATAAAAGATAAAATAGTTCTTGATGTGGGTGCTGGAACAGGGATCCTCTCACTATTCTGTGCAAAAGTTGGGGCTAAGCATGTCTATGCAGTAAGTAGTCATTTATGTTGTTGTTCCTCCTTCTTTCTGAGACAGAACACGTGGTTCCTCTTTTTTTTTTTATTTATTATGTAAGGTCCTTGTTCTTCATTGCTTTGTGTAGAGCAATACATTGATTTTATTTTTATAATTTATTACCTTTTAACATGGGAAAACAGAGAAAAGAGAGGGAGGGGGAGGGTGTAGTCCCTGTTGTCATGACTTCACTTGTTTTGACAAAGAGAATTCCATATCAATCATTCTATGTCGACTCATGATGTTCCAATAAAAAATGATTTGACTTCTAAATTTCCATTTTTCATCCTTATTCACTGATTGGAAAACAGACAAAAAATAAAAACGGAAACAGGGAATGCCCCTTTTAGGACAATTTTTATTTTTTTATTTTTTTTATTTTTTTCTCTCATCAATAACGGTGTGCATGGACCAGATCAATTACTGAACTTTATCAGCCTACACAAAATAGTACGACTGATCAAATATCTTCTACTTGGCTTCGGCGTTTGGATTTGGATTTTTCATTACTGTTCATTTAACTTGCAGGTGGAATGCTCCAGCATGGCTGATACAGCTCAGGAAATTATCAGTAAAAATGGTTTTTCAAATGGTAGTTATTTTGTGGCCCAAAGATGCAACATTTGGATGTCACATGTGTTATTAACTTTACCTTTTGATTGATCTTATTGCTAACATTCCCCCACCCCCCTCCAAAATAAATTGAAATCTCAGTCATAACAGTACTTAAGGGAAAGATTGAAGAGATTGAACTTCCGGTTGCTCGAGTTGATGTCATTATTTCCGAATGGATGGGATATTTCCTAGTTTATGAAAACATGTTGGACACTGTCCTCTACGCCCGTAACAAGTGGCTAGTGAGTTTATCATCAACTTCCTTGCTTTTATAATGGAAACCTATATTTTCGGTTAACTTAAAATATCACGCGTATTTTGCTTGTTTATTTTCAGGTCCAAGATGGAGTTGTATTGCCAGATATAACCTCTCTTTATGTTACAGCCGTTGAAGATGCTGAATACAAGGAAGACAAGATTGACTGTGAGCTTAATGCCTGTCTCATGGATTGTTGATTGTGATAATATAGTAAATCACATTTTTGTGTTCATTATCAACTCGCCATTCTCTGACTTCTTTATACATGTCAGTCTGGAGTAATGTATATGGGTTTGACATGAGCTGTATCGGGAAGAAAGCCATAATGGAACCTCTTATTGACACTGTAGACAAAAAGCAGATTGTTACCAACTGCCAATTACTCAAGGTTGGAGCTTTCTTAATGTTATTCACCTTGGTTATTAATTCTTTGGGTTAAACATTAGGTTAAGTTGTTAAGAGCATCAATACCAATCATCTCTAAATATTATGTCTTCTGAAATTTCAGACATTGGACATCTCCAAGATGGAAGCTGGGGATGCTTCCTTCACTGCACCTTTTAAGCTTGTGGCGGATCGTGATGATTATATCCATGCCCTTGTAGCTTATTTTAACGTTTCTTTTACCCACTGTCATAAACCGATGGGTTTCTCTACAGGTATGATGTTTCTTCTGTATCTACTTTTGCCTTTTGTGGTGGTAAAGTTCTTGTCATGTTCTTTTGGAATGTAGCATCACTCTTATCTTTCACCAAGAGATTTTATTGGAAAAGCATTACAGTATTTTTTTGGGTGATGCTTGATTTTAAAGACGATACATTTAAATCTTGGGCCATATTTTCGGAAGAATCTAATTGAATTGTGCTCAAAATTTCAAATGTTCATATTTCATGACTTTTAAATTGTATCTTGCTTTATGCAGGACCCAAGTCGCGTGCGACTCACTGGAAACAAACAGTACTTTACCTTGAAGATGTGCTTGCCATCTGCCAAGGGGAAGCATTGACTGGGACCATGACCGTGTCACCTAATAAAAAAAATCCCCGGGATGTAAATATCACTTTGAAGTATTCTTTGAACGGGAGACATTGCAGGGCCTCGAGAACTCAGCATTACAGAATGCGCTGAACTTTGTTTATGCCTCGTTCATGGTGTTTGTTATATTAAGGAGTATACCCAGCTGGAGCAATATTTCCTTGGGTGCCTTTGACTTGTATTTTAGTTCTCAATTATATTTATTTGTATTAATAATTTCCCAAATTTTGATTTTGATTATATCTTAATTTTATCATGATTTTATCATGCTTGCAATTCAGAGTTTTTTTAATTTTGTTTTGCTGTAACCGAGTCAAGTACCATAGTTGGTCTGATTGGCTTATGCACTGCACCTGGGTGGCCTTGTCTGAGATAGTCAAAGAGGAATCATGAAATAATGTGATTATTCTCCATGTAGACGTGGCCAATTCTCCATGTAGACATGGCCAAGGGTCGAACTGGCCCGAATTACCGGTTTTTGAACCGGACCTTGGCCTCTAAGGGCCGGTTTCGAGTCTTAATTTTTCTTTTTTTGACTCGCCGGTTTTGAGTCAGAAGGTGGGTTGTAGTTGATTTTATTTTATTTTTAATTTTTTTAAAATGAAAAACTGGTGGTTCAATCATCAATGAACAACCAGGTAGGGTTGATTCATTTGAACCGGCCCTTAGATATATTTGGGCCCATCATTTGAGGCCCGCCGATCTTCCGGGCCGAGCCAGGCTGAATCATGAACCAACCCGGTCTTTGGGCGCATCTATCTCCATGGAATAAATTTAAAATTGTATAAGTAGAAAATAATACAAAATTTCTTAGACTTACCATTTGTGTGGAAATAATATTTTGAAAGATTTTAAGATTTTCATATTTTGAAAGAATTTTATGAAATTTTAAGTTTAAAGGTGAGATTTGAAGTGAAATTTGATATAAAGTTTTTCTATTTAAAATTCCCACTAAATCTTCAGTCTTAAATAAGTTAAATACCGAACTTTTTAAATTTTTTTTAAAAATCTCAAATGAATACCTCGAGACTTGTAAAAGTATTAACAAATCTAAATTGAATACTCCAGAGTTTTCAAAGTCTTAAAAGTTTTTTGAAAATCTCAATTGAATATACCCGATGTGCCCCCTGATGTGACCCTGAAATTTATAAACTACACCCGAGCAAATTCTAGAATAGTTAGAACAAGATTACAAAATTGGATGGATAAAATGCTCTCAACATTGTACTCTAATACAACTACAGCCAAACCAAATTTCATATAAATACCAAAATGGATGAAAAAGATGGTCAATTTCAATCGTAATGTGTCCATTTGTGCTTCTCATAGCTCTGCCTTACCAGACTTGGAACTCTTTGTTTTCCTGCTTCTCCACCACTGTCTAATCCTGTTTGAAACCCTGTCTGCATGACCTTTTAGTTTCTCACCAGCATCAACGACCCCTCTTCGTACTCGCTCCTTCCAGTCATACTTTTTATCATCTTTTTCTCTTAGAACTTTCCCCTGCACAAGTTTTACGTTTGAACTCGATGAAAAAGACCATTTTTTAGGTTATTTTTTGGAGCACCCACAGTTGATAGTTACTCACCAATTTGGAGGTGACGTCATCATCATCATCGTCATCATCATCTTCATCACCGAAATTTTGGTTCATCAAATCTTCGCGTGAGTACATCTTCATGCCAGGTGCTCCAGGCATACCCTGTAAATAAACCAAGTTAAACAAGTAAACAACGGTCTTGAGAGTACGAAACTGCAATTTTTGGGTTGTTGCATGATAAAAAATTACCTGCATTGATTTCATCAACTTTTCCATTTCGGCCTCTTTAGCAGATTTGGCTACAAATGGCTCTCCAGGTGTCCTATCCTGGAAGGCGAACGAGAAGAAAATTCGTACACCAGGAGGAATAAGAACTTTCATTGACAAAAGGAAAGCAAAAGAGAACACATTGGGTAATTAATGGAAGCCTCCATTTAAAGAATGGTGAGAAATGCATAGAACTAAAGAGATTGATCATAGTTTTATGAGGATAAGCTAGATTGATCATATTTAACAATTTTGTTTTCATGTGTGACCAAATTGACCAAAATCATTAACAAAGTTGCAGATACAAATAATCCATACAAACAAAAGCCACTCCGAATCTGGGTATTTTGTACCTTAGGAACAGGTGGTGGCTTCGAACTGCATGCTTCAGTAAGGTCCTTACAGAGATAATTCACCAAAGATTCAAGCTGGGGTTTCTTTTTATACAAGTATTCTGCTACATCAGTATCAGAATAGCCCAAGACCTGCAAAATAATGAAGGATTTTAGACATCGAATGATGAAGCTGATTCAGGTCTCAAACATTGAAAAGAAACTGCTTGACAGAATATTTTTTAATTTTATTTTAGTCAGACGACACAACGCTCACTGAAGCTCAAACCGTTAGCTTTCAATCATTCTGAAATTATGACAAAAATTATATAATACAATTGTCCAATGGCAATACTCTCCACTCAGATCGATATTATATTTAAAACAAAAGAACACAAAAAATTCAAATTAAATCTCTAATCATTCCACGGTTTCAAACACAAAATGTGCCTCATCTCAAAACAAAAAAGGTCGATAGCAGACACCATAAATTCGTGATTGAACCGAATGTCTTTAGGAACAAATGCCTATGCACATAATAATCTACATCAATAGAAAAAGCTCCCGTGTAAATCGATAGTACAAGAAAAACTTCCAGTAGTACTCTCACCTCTTGACAGGCTCGCTCTATCGTTTTGCACTCTGAATTACACTGTCCTTCGGAATCTTGCTCGACGAGCTGAGGGTGCACAACAACTGATACAGTAAGCAGACCCAACAAAACAAAACAAAACAAAATAAAATATGTGTAAACTATCAACCATCTTACCTCTAATTTATCACCTTTCTCCACAACATCTATTTTGAGGATCCAATCAGCTTCTTGTTTCTTCAGATTGCAAACGTTCTCTGCAATTTCTATTACTTGATACTCTGATATCTGCTCCCAATATCAATTCATAAACATAAGCCACAATCAAACTAACACATCTCAAACACACACACACACACACACACACACACACACACACACACACACACACACACACAAGCACATACGACCCAAATAAGATAATTCAAAATTACTCAAGAAACCCATTCGAAAAACGAAACTAAAAGTAAACCCAGATCATAAATCTTATTCATCAACTGAAAAAATAAGGGAAAAAAAAAGAAGAAGAAAAGGATAGCTGATAATCAGTTCTTAATGGAAAAGATTTTTCGAAGGGATGATAGAAAAATCTACCTTTCTAGGAGAAATCTCAGCTTGTTTAGCTTGTACTTGATGGTACAATTGGGAGGCCAATTTCTCACACACTTGGCATTTGATATATGGGATATCTTCTTTTCTGGCCACCCCAACCGGTGGCTTAGCGCCGTGCGACGGCGGCGCCAAAGAACATAAGATTAGTACTGCGTATAAGGATAAGAGCAGTACATTTTCTTCTGATCTCGCCATGATTGAACAGCAGGCGACGAACAGAGAGAACTGTGGTTTTAGTTGCAGTCACAGACGGATTTTTGCAATGTGCGAGAGAGAGATTTGTTGTGGGGTTTTAGATGGTGAAATTGCTGCGTGTTCTGCTGCTTCTGATTGGTTGTTTAGAGCCACGTCAGCTTTTAGTAAGTAACTATTTTCACCGCTACGGAATAAGTTTTACACACGGCCAAATAAGACATTAACTTTTTGATTCTACAAAGTGTGAAACAAATTTATGTGACAAAACGAATATAACAGATAAAGTGCAAAAAATTATATCATACAACATGAGACATGTGTGGGAAGATAATTGATAAATTGCGGATTATTTGTGCGATAAACTATGCCACATACATACGAATATAATTGATTAAGTGCAAAATTATGTGATAAACAATGCGAGCATGCGACTGATAAAGTACAGAATAGAATATGCGATAGTTACTATGAGAAAACCAAGTGAAGATAATTGCGAAATATTTATGCGGAAACTATTCGAAAGAGTAGAGAAGATAATTAAGAAAGTGTGAAATATTTGTGTGAGGACAATGCGAAAGAGATGATAAGATAACTGATAAAGTGCAAAATATATATATACGACAAACTACACGACAGATAGGTCAAGATAACCGATAACGTGCAAAATAATGTGTGATACGATATGTGATAGACACACGAAGAAAATTGATAGTGTGAAACAAAGTATGTGATAGACATTGTGATAAACAGACGAATAAAACTTATTGGTAATGTACGAAACAGATTATGAGATAAACTATGCGACAGACAAGTGACTATAATTAATAAAATGCAAAATCATTAAGCGATACACAATGCGACAGGCATGCGAAGATAAGTGATAAAGTGTGAAAAATAATATGCGATATATTATGAGACAGACACATGAAGATAATTGATAATTGATAAAGTGCGAAAGGCATTATGCAATAAACTATGTGACAAACATGCAAAGATGATTGACAAAGTGCAAAAGATATTATGCAATAAATTGTGTGACAGAGAGAAGAAGATAATTGATAAATGCAAAATAATTATGCGGTAGACTATGCAACAGACATGTCATAATAATCGATAAAGTGCAAAATAATTATGCGATACGATATGCGACAAACAAGCTAAAAAAATTAATAAAGTGCGAAACAAATTATATGATAAACAATGCTACAAATAGACGAAAAAATGATAAAGTGTGAAATGTATTATACAGACAAGCAAAGAAAATTAATAAAGTGCAAACAAATTATGTGATAAACAATATGACAAACATACGAAGAAAATTGATAAAGAGTGACGTGTTATGCGACAAACTATGCGACGAGTAAGCGAAGATAATCGATGAAGTGTGAAACAAATTATGTGATCAACAAGACAAGACGACAGACAAGCGAAAATACTTGATAAAGTGTGAAATATTTATGCAACAGCTATGCGAAAGAGAGGCGAAGAAAGTTGATAAAGAGCAAATCATTTATGCGATAAACTAGGCAAAAAACATGTCAAGATAATCAATAAATTGCAAAGTATTTATGAGATAAACTACACGACAAATTGGTCAAGATAATCGATAAAGTGTGAAACAAATAATGCGTTAAATAAGGCGACAGGCTGTCGAAGATAATTTAGCGAGTACAATCGACAAATAGACGAAGTTAATTGAGAAAGTGCGTAAAGTTGCAGAGAACTGTGTGAATAGTTCGGTCAATCGCGGGTCTATCGCATTTTAGTCGCAAATCAACTTCATGCACCGGTTTTTACAGTTTCCATGTTTCTTCACCATTATCAACATTTTGTGTAAGCCTTAGAAAGGTCGTCCTCTCGAGCCCGCCATACCAGAAACACGTGAAAGAGTCTTCCAACATCTTGAATCCCCAATGTTACTAAGAATGAAAACTCCAAAGCAATGAGGCAAAGGATCGTGATCCGGGTCGACATAAACAACCAAAGGAATCTGATGAAAAACGATAGGGACGATGATTCTATGAACTGATCGAGCATACATTGATAAAAAATGAGAAATGTATTTTGTATTTTTTATTTTATCCACATACATTTCTCGCCAGCGATCAACATATACTCGATCAGTTCAACAAGTCGTTGTCCCTATCGTTTTTCATCAGGTTCTTCCAATTGTTGATCTCGGCCCAGCCCACGATCCTTCGTCTCATTGCTTTGAGTATTTCCATTTTTAGAAACTTTGTGGATTCAAGATGTTGATAACCTCATTCATGTGTTTTCTGGTACAATGCTCCCAAAAGTATGACATTTCTAGGGCTTATATGAAAAGTTGATAATTGAGAACTGAAAAATGTAAAATCGGGTGCAAGAATAAGTTGATATGCGACTATCTGTCACATATTTTATCATATAATATGATCACACTCGTTGATATATCTTCGCCTTTCTCTCGCATAGTTTATGACATATTTATCTGCTAACAATCCCCACTATTCTCGTATAAGACAAATTTATACACAGGTAAAGTAGATAAATGATGATGGTTGTGTGCCATCTATAGGTGCGAGTGAATGACACAATTCTTTCTGCATGCCTTTATCGTTTTGCTTCAACGGTTCTATTTCACACTCTGCTGAGAGACTGACAAGAAGATAGAGACTTAAGTCGGGCCATGAAATTAATACATGAACATGCGATTGAGATGTGGAGATAGACGAAATTATTACATAGTGATAGAGATGTATATGAGATTTTTTGGACTTTATTCATGTAAATGAGAGGCATTATGCATCGCAAAATTATTATATTTATTTCTTTTATTAAAAATGCGTTGGAGTTGTGATACGCAGAACCATTATTTTTATTTCTTTATTCTAATATGTGATGATTATTAAGCGAAATGTTAACTGACTCTAAATACATTTTATCAAGACAAGTTGACTCTACCTGACCGTTACAGGTGTAGTAGTGGTGCTAACACTTGAAAACGACAGACTTAATTCCTGACTATTTTCTACCCATAAAACAACCTTAAATGGTCTTAAGTGGCAGGTGACTGATGTCATTCTCCACTTATGCGAAGTCCTATAAAAAGGACATTGTAGAGTTGCAGAAAAACACACACAACATCATCTACATCTTTACATTCTCTCATAGCCACACGCATGTACATACTGCTCAATTCTCAGCTCCGTTCAAGTTCGTCGGAGCTCAAAAGTCTGAAGTGTTACAATTTCTCATCTTGCGAAAAAAAGCAACACTCGTCTCGACTTTTTGTCTTTCCGCTGTCAAGTTTTTCTTGTAATTTTCAATGTTGGTTCATATCATAAAAATTGAATGATCATATATTATTCAGTCATAAACACGCAATTTATAACATAAGTAATATTTTATTCTCTTTTGTTTATGTGATACACATATACATTCTCAGGCAGCCCTTTCAAATAATTAAAAGTGCAGTAAAAGTAATCTTGACAAAATTATTTTATTGGCCTTTTTTCTGGTGTGATAATGATTGGCAAAGACACATTTTTTTTTTTTTTTTTTGGATGTACGTATTGATTGCAAAATATACTCCATTAACTAGAAAAATAATTGGTGGTGTTTATGATTGCTCGGCTACAAAAATATTCTACCACATTCTATTTCATTTTTTAAATTAAATTTAAAGCCAACTCACTAATGATGTGAAACTGCTGTTGTCTATATCGACCAACCACGCAACAAAATCAGAATAATAAAAAAATTAATAGAAAAAAAGATAGCCCATGATGGTTAGGATATAAACAATATTTAATATAAAAAATAAAAAATTAAGAAATTTGTTAATAAGCTGGATTCTCTAGTCAAATTTCTGTATTTGATTTTTGTTTTTAATTTACTATTGATGGGTCTAATAAACGATATTTATTAATATTTATAAATTAAAAATGTTAATTAGATAATATTTATAAATTAAAAATATGGGATCAATATGTGGTACGATTTACCTATATTAATTTATTAAATATTATATAAACTTTAAATTGTGCTAAAATTAGTGTACAACACGTACGATGCACATAAGTGATAATAAATTACATCAAAATTTCTATGAGCCATCGGATGGTTTTCTTATGGAGCCATCCATCACTTAATATATTGACACCTGTCCAAATTGTATTTATTATAGAACACGTGTCAACACACTATTGATGAATAAGTGTGGATGACTCCATAAATCGAGTCATCTAATGACTCTATAGCAAAACTGTAAATTACATTATATTAATTTTAAATAAGTGTCATATTATTCAGAAATTCGATTTGATTAAAATGTGATTTCATAAAATAATTTTTTTTGGTAAAATTTTATCCTATATTTAAAAATTTATGTGAATAATAAGTATAATTATAAAATTTATATTGTTCTATTAATTAATTTGAAATTATTTTTGTATAAACTATTCAAATAAAAAAATATAAGTAGTTGAGTAATTTATTAAACTATAAGAAGTTGACTATTCCATCTACGTCCAAGTTAATATTGACTTGTAAGTTATGAATAATTACTTATTTGACTTTTAATTTTGGAACCAAAATTTGGACTACACAATAAATTCACTTATATATATATATATTATAATATATTTAAAATTCAAGTTAGTAAATTGGTTATAATTTTAAAAGAAATATGAGAAATAATAAATTGAAACTACCCAAAGTCCAAAAA